GCGGGGTCAGTGGGAGAGGCTCAGATTTTCTTGTTCCTCTTGATGGTAAACCTGGGGGTCCAGGCAGAAAGGTTTGCTGGGGGGTGGGTAGGGGGGAGGACATGGGGAGGGAGGGCTTGGCTGGAGCCAAACTGCTCCAGATGGCCCCGACCACAGCGGGGTACTCACACGACAGCATGCAGTAAACATCCCGACTTGGGTCCCTGGAGGCTGTAGGACTTCACCCAGCTGCTGGGGATGACTTTCTGGCTGTTCTTCAGGCAGCAGTCCAAGGCCGAGCTGCCAATGCCTGGGGGCAATGGGGGCATGTGGGATTTCGGACCCTCACCGAGCCAGGGCACCTTCCCAGCCCCAGGGGGAGCACAGCACAGCCAACTGACAGCACAGGGCTTGCTTGGTATCGTTCGCGGGAGAGATGCTGGGGCAGCCACGTGAGGGTGGGAGCTCCCAACCCCAGTGCCCTGTTATAGGTCGGACCCTGCTGCAGGGATATGTGACACCAATTTCACTGCCAGTGGAGGGGAAACTAAGGCAGAGACAGGCTCCTTGCAAAGGGACTGAACCTTGTTCTCCCACCTGTGCCATTCAACTTGGGGTGCTGCTGCCCCTCCAGCCACGTGCACACACACATGCTCCCCCCCCGCCTGCAAAAGCTAAGCAAGCACTGCAAGCCAATGCCACACACCAACCGGGCATGTACGTACACACACACACATGCACATCCCCCTACATATGACTGCACTGCAAACCCAACACCTGCAGCCATGCATGCATGCAAATGCACTGCAAACAATCCCTGTTCACTGCAACCATGCCACCTAGCACCCTGAGCAGACCCTGCCGAGCACCCATCCCCTGCCACATCCCACCACAGGTGGGCAGGAGGGCTTCGTGCCCCTCACCTTGAGCCTGAGCGATGAGGAGGGTAGCGGCCAGCAGGAGCAGTGGCAGGAGGAGGCGCAGAGCCATGGTGGGTGCTGTGGGTGCTGAGCTGGGCAAAGCTGGGGAGCAGGACACACACTGCTGTCTTGTGCTGAGGCTGCTCTTATTTATCTCCAGATGCTTTGCTTTCATTTTCATCTAACCTGGCAGGCAGCCCACCAGCTGGCCAAGAGCTGGGTGATGGAGAAGCAGGAGGGTGGGGGATTCCTGTAAGTCACAAGCCCCCCTTTATGGACACATCCTGTCTTGTTCCCAGCTGCCCGTCATAGCGCGGGGTGCCAGGTGGGGGGCATGCCAGAGACACAGCCCCTATCACAGCTAGATGAGTTTGTGGGCTTCTGTTTCCTACCAGGTCCCACAACCTGCTGCTACCTGCTCTCGGCAGGTTGGGTGTTGCTGCTTGTCTGTTTGTTCCCCAGGCAGGGACCCTGGTGGGTGGCCAAGCTATTAAAGGAACCAAGGAGTCAATCGGTTTTGCTCTCAAGCCAAGCCACCCACCCCACATAGGTGTGAAGGGGCTCTGGGTGACCCCCACATGCCAGCCCCCTGAGCCCCCATCTCTGTCTGGCTGCCTCGGGGACCTCCCCAGACAGCTGAACACATCTGCAGGGCTGGGATGTGCAGGGGCTGTACTGCAAATGGGGCTGGGGAAGATAGCACAGCCCATTGTGCATTGGTGCTGATACCAAATTGTGGGGAGCTGAGGATGAGCAGGGACCTTGACTGGCTGGAGGAACAAGCTGACGGGAACCTCCTGAGGTTCAACACAGACAAGATGCGAAGTCCCACGGGTGAGACGGCGTGACTCTGTGCAGCCAGACAGGCTGGGCATGGCTGGCAAGACAGGGGCTATGCAGAAATGGACCTGGGGTAGCTGAACAGGAGTCCTCAGGGCATCCCTGTGGTGGCAAAGGCCACCCAAAGAGATGGCCACATGGATGGACCAAGCATTGAGCAACCTAGTGTAATGCTGGTCCTGCTCTGAGCATGGGATGGTCAGAGACCTCCACATTTTCACATGAATGCCAGGCGATGGTCCAAGAGACCAAGGATGGAGGTTTCACGACCGCTTTGGGCAACCTGTCCCAGTGCTTGAAATGTTCTCATGTGTGTCATGGTTTATCTGATCTGCACCATGCTCTTGTTTTTGCTGTATGTGTTAGACTGGTGTTGGTTTTTGCAGTTTGCTGTGCTCTGCAGTGATTAGTGATGTTTTGCCTGGGAGATTTGTTTTCAAAAAAGGTATATCCATTACAATCACCACCCCTGGTCCCTTTGGGCCAGGTTATAGGGATTAACATTGCAATGAACTCCTCCCCTTGCTCCTAGCCTGGCTAGCAACAAGGGGTTCCTGCTATAGTAATTCCCATAACATGCAACTCAAATCCCGGGTTACAACAATTTAAAGGTATTTCCATTACAGTCTCCACCCCTGGCCCCTTTGGACCAGACCATTGGGTTTAACACTGCAATGGACTCCTCCCCTTGCCCCTGCATCGTCTTGGACTTATCCACAGACTGCAGTCCCTTAGGGGTTTACCTGCTCCAAGTGGAGCCTTATCTATGAGCCACAGTCTCTCCAGGGGTAT